AAAAAAAAAAAAAAAAAAGAAAAAATGAAACACAAGAAGTGTGACATGGAAATGGAAGTGCATATAAAAAAAATCACGAATGTAGATAAACCGAAAACTCGGATTCACCATAGACTGACTTTCTACTTCGACAATGAATCATTGCAAATATACGAAATAAACAAAACAAAAAAAAAAAAAAAGAAAGAAAGAAAGAAAAAAATAGGAATATTAACGATGACAGAGAAAGGCCAGTGTGACACAAGACTGACGTAAATCTCGTTGACGGATAATACCCAGTTATGGGTATTATTTATTCTGGCATGTCTGCAAAGTAAACAGTTATTTAGGAGCGTAACAACCGACAGAAAGCGGTTGAATGGCAATCCTCAAAAGCCAACCCCTTCTCACCCCCTTTCTACGGACAACAATCGCAAATGCACACGAATATCGTGCCTAACCATAATTACATATTTCCTCGTGCCTGAATACGAGCAAAACCACCTCGAATCCCCTTGAAACTGCTCCTATGTTTCCTTCTAGTCCTTAAGACGCTCGGAGGAACGCTTTATATGATCAAAGAGCGGTTCTCAGAGTGGCAGGTCGATTCTATCCGAATCAAATCTCGGTTCAGAATTGAATATTATCGGAATAGACGGATTTTCAAAGTCTGAGGCGAGGGATATGGGTTAATATGAAAGTTGTTTGGAGATGTTTGAAATAGAAAGTTTCTATAATCGATATTATTTTGATTCGATAATAGATAGATCCTTAATTCTCGTTTGTGAATATTATTAAATCTTGGATCGGTGTTTATGTGAGGTATTTTATGAGTGATGGGATAATTTGAAAATGTTTGAAGATGTAGAAAAATTTTAAAATAAATAAAATAAATAGATATTTGGGAAATTTTGAAATTGAACTACATTCAGATATCCGGATAAGAAATTTTGTAAGTTGAAAGTAATTTGAAGATGTTTGAAGACGTTTGCCAAGAGTTTTAATGGATAATATATATATTATTTTCAATGTTATGACTTCCCGTGAAAGTTTTTAAAAAAAATAACGAAAAAGAAATTATTGCACAACGTAGGATCCGGTTCGATTGTGTGAAATCAGAGATTAACAATTCTTCCAATCTATTGTCGGCCAACCGTTTCCCCATATTCACACAGAATCGTACGCGATTAGTGGCGCGTGGAACGAGCGAGACACGGTGAGCGATTTCTACTCGCGTGCGACAGCGCGACGATAATTTTGCAATCGGCTTATGCGCCTCTATTATGCGAGTTTCATTGTTAATTGTCCAAGGGGTCATTCTACCGTCCGGCCAAGTTAATGCCCCATATTTTGCGCTGATTACGCGAAAGAGACAGGATGGAAACACGCATTGTGCGCGCGTATCCAATCGAATCACGAAGGATCGTGACTAGTGTAGACCTGTGATCGTGTTCATCCTCGTTCATTAAATCATCGGGGATTTTCTGTTCTCGAAATGATCGTGAAATATTTATCATCGTGGATACGTAGTAACATCTTGAAAATGCGTAAATTGATCACTGCGTGAATCAAATTTAA